GGGGGAAGCAATCAATTAATTGCCTACTGAAATTTATAGGTTCATTTTGTTGTATTTTAGCAGCCAGTCCTTATGCAAGTTCAGGGCATTCTCCCTTACCTCTTGGGGGAGCAAATTCCACTGTTTAGTTATTTAGTGTGTGCATAAGTAGGTTCTGTTGCTTGTCTTGAATTTTTCCACATTTAGCTTCATGGCATTTCCCATGTTCAAGAATTATGAGAGAGGAGAAAAAAATTTCTCTATCCACTTTCACCACACCATACATAATCTAGTGCACCTATATAATGTCACCCCTTTCTCACCTTTCTCTGAACTAAAAAGTCCCAAATGTTGTAACTTTTTCTCATAGACGAGTTGATCTGATCACATTTTCCCTGCTTTTTCTGAACCATTTCAAGATGTACAATATATCTTTTTAGATACGGTGAGCAGAAGTGTACACAATATTCCATAATTGGTATAATAGTATTATGATTTGGGTAGTTTTGTTTTTAGTTCCTTAAGGCTTAAGTGAGGATTCCTAGCAAGGAATTTGTCATTTCCACAGTTTCTATACACCAGGTCAGCATTTTCAATGAGCTATTCATTACTGTCCCAGTATCTCATTTGCGGTCAATCATCAGCAGTTGAAATGCTATAGATTTGTAAGTGAAATTAAGGCTTTTTTGCCCAAAGGTACATCACGTCACACATTGGATTGCATTTTTCATTTTACTGCCCATATATCCCATTTCAAAAGATCCGTTTGGACCTCTTCACAATCCATTTCTGTTTTAAACACCCTGAAAAATTTGGTTGCATCAGTAAACTTGCCACCCCCCCTTCTCCTTCTCTTACGCAATTTTCTCTTTGCAGAATTGGATCACTAAATCTTAAGGATTCCTAATGTCCAAGTGAGAGTTTAGACATGGCTTGTATGCACAGATGTTTCTCATACAGTCTATCAAATCTTTCAGATTAATGCAGTTAATTAATTAATACAGTTTATTAATACAATTCTAAAACTACTCATTCAAAGCAAAGTATAGTTCAGTCAAATATTGATATTTAACAAATGTATAAAACGCGGCAGCTAAAAAAGCCAATGCAATTCTGGGCCTCATCAATAGGAGTATAGCATCTAGATCAAGGGAAGTAATAGTGCCACTGTATTCTGCTCTGGTCAGACCTCACCTGGAGTACTGTGTCCAGTTCTGGGCACCACAATTCAAGAAGGACACTGACAAACTGGAACGTGTCCAGAGGAGGGCAACCAAAATGGTCAAAGGCCTGGAAACGATGCCTTATGAGGAACGGCTAAGGGAGCTGGGCATGTTTAGCCTGGAGAAGAGGAGGTTAAGGGGTGATATGATAGCCATGTTCAAATATATAAAAGGATGTCACATAGAGGAGGGAGAAAGGTTGTTTTCTGCTGCTCCAGAGAAGCGGACACGGAGCAATGGAGCCAAACTACAAGAAAGAAGATTCCACCTAAACATTAGGAAGAACTTCCTGACAGTAAGAGCTGTTCGACAGTGGAATTTGCTGCCCAGGAGTGTGGTGGAGTCTCCTACTTTGGAGGTCTTTAAGCAGAGGCTTGACAACCATATGTCAGGAAAGCTCTGATGGTGTTTCCTGCTTGGCAGGGGGTTGGACTCGATGGCCCTTGTGGTCTCTTCCAACTCTATGATTCTATGATTCTATGATTCTATATTAAGTACTATTTACTCACAGTGGGTTGTTAATCAAGGCTTCAGAGGGGTGTATATTAAATAAAACATTGGGGAAGACGTAGCGGATATGAGATGCAATCCCACCAATGACAGGGTCACCTGGCTCATGCCACTCATGTGGAATAGGTACAGGATTAGTTGTGGTAAAATTAGCACTATGCACTTGGCACACCATGTTGGGGAAGAGCAGGAGAAGCAGCAGCAGCAAGGTTCTACACATGGACTCTTCTTTGCCTCTCTACAATATCATCATTATCATCAGCAGCCTGATTTGAACAGTATCGATTTGGAGGCAGCAGACTCTGCCAGTTCAGTGCTTAAAGGGACATGCATGCATCTTATCATTAAACCCTGTCACAAAGACCTGCCTTGAATGGTAAATAAGATGAAGTGATTTGAAATTTTGCCTATACAATCACAGAGCCTGGTTTCTCTCTTCTGCATTATTCTAACTGTCTATGAAACCTTTCAGGCTTGCTTGCTGATTCTCCCCCACCCAACATTTTGCCTTCTGGAGCATTGGCAAGGTGACTTAATTATTGTCATTTTAATAATTGCAGGGGAGACAATCACTTGCACTTTTTTACGGACTCCATGGTGCATCATCTTTGGCAGAACTGTCAAGTAAACATTTGTTGCCTCAGGCCATTCTCAATTAGGAAGAGTAAGTTTTTACTAGTTTGCCAGATAAATCATTCAGATCAGATGGCAGCCTTGCAAATTGGCACAGGGTTAGCAGCATAGTGTGAGGAGCCAAAGTCACAGCTCCTCCTAAAATATGCACTAGGGTCCATCATTCTTTAATTGAACGTATGACCCTTCTGTGAATCCTCACGAACCCAACATTATATATGGTAAAATGAACTTCAAGGAAGAAGCAGTGACTCTACAATCCAAAACAGAAAAGCAAAACTGATGAAAAAGGGCTGAGAGCCAATTGCATCCATTTATAAATGGGACAAACTTCCATGAGTGGAGAAGAGAAAAAGAGCTGTTACACAGTGGTACCACATATGGTTCATGCGCAGAGGGTCTGACACTCAATACATAACATCTCCAGGTATTGCTGGAAGAGACCCCATTCTGAAACCTTATAAAGCTGCTGTCCATCATTGTAGACAATACTGAACTAAATGCAGTAGTGAATTGGTTCAATATAATCTAGCTTCTAATGTTCCTATATTCCCTTCCTTCTCCTCCCTCTGCAGCTTCCCATAGGAGGGTACCCATGGTGTGCAGGAGAGGAAGGAGAAACGAGGGATGAGGGGAGAGAGACATTCTGCTGGCTATCAGGCAATGGCTTTTCCCACCTGCCTTGCCCCACCCTTCAGCCGCCCTAGGAGCCTTTCACAGACCATGACTTTAGGAAGAGCAGAAGCAGGCTTTCAGTCATTTGATGTTGCATAGCATCCTAGTTTCATTCCTTCACACAGCCCCTATTCATTAACACCTGTATTATGAGGGGTCATGCTTGACCTACATTTTGTGTTTGTAACTGGATAACAAGTTAGCCTAACCTGCAGTGTACCCTGGGTAATCACCCCATTTGCCTATTTCTTTTCCCATCCCCTCTAGGAAGTTGCTGTGTGACAAGGGCCATAAAAATTAAATGACTGAAAATGCTGAACTGCAGTGATGGTGATAATGAAATAAATTAGCAACGGAAACATTACTGAATGCAGATTTCAGAATTTGACTTTGTCTGAATCTCTGGAGAGAGCATTCCTCAGTCAAATATAGATAGCTGAATGTGGGACGAGTAGAACAATAGCGGGTCATGTTGGGTGTCCTGACTAGCCAGGAAACAAGATGTACAAAACTTCCTTAAGGTAGGAAATCCATTCAGGAGAACACTTTTTAAGAAAACCTTCCTTTACTGCAATCTATCATGTACAAAAGACTCACATCTTAGTGCCACCTATGCATCATCAGCCCTCTTCATTACATCACTTATACACACCCTCTTCTGGTACTCTTACCGTAAGCCCAGCACCCTTCCACACATCTTCCTGCTACTCTCTGAGCAACATTTGTACTGCACTGGATAGTGTATCTAGGGGCTTGGTAGGGATTCAGTTGCCTGTCTGTGTGAAGCCCAGATATGTCATTAAGAACTATAATAGCTTCAGGCATAGAATTTCTGGTCCCGGGTCCATCAAATAGACCTATGTCCATGCAGCTGCAGCAGTGGCTTTAGTCGGTGTTTTGATTGTTACTCACTATCTTCTTGGGAGCAGATCTGGCCCAAGATCTTTTGGCACCTGATGTAAGCCACAAAAGGGCATCCCCATCCTCTCCAGGGAAGAAGGAGTTAGTAAATATCTACAATAGGAACAAGTGGGGAATAAAGATCTACATTGGGATCTGCTGCCCTTGTAGATCTTGCTGCCAGAGGTGGTCACTGTTACAATATGAGAACATCGCACCTGCAAACAGCCAGCTTGTTGACATCATGTGACGTGACTAGCTGTGGGAATCTTCCCGGAAGTTCACAGACTTCACAAAGCTGTGTTCAGTGTGTAATATGAGACCTTCCTGTTGCGTTTGTAAAGGAAGTCTTGGTGACTTGCTTGAAGGAGTCTGAAGTGATCGGACGTGCTTTCTTGTAGAGTTGTACGGTCAGAAATAAGCATGATGTAAAAGGACTTTCTGACTACTCTTCTTTCCCCTGCGAAGGGGGAGAAGTGGGTGTGCATTTTCCACGCTGGTAAATGTCGCCTATCAAGATCTACCCTGGACTTGCGGGGAAGCCAGCCAGGGAGGTCACCGGTAAACAAGCTCCGGGAGCAGGGAGAGGGGCCAGTCTCTCCCGTTAAGGCTTGTTTTCCCCTTGCCTCATGGGAGGGCCAGCCCTACTTGGGAATCATACAACACACTGTTATGCTGTATCCATATATCTTCCCCATGTATTGTAGGAAGTTATTACTATGAGTCTGAATGTGTGAGGATATTATTTTAAATTATTTTAAATTATTTTAAATGCACCCATGGTTCTATATGTTCTACACCAGGTTTGTCCACCTTTCAAGATACTGAGATCTACTCCCACTATAAAAAAACTGGCAGTGATCTATGAAAGTTGTTCAGCTTACATATTTACATATTTCTCCCTATCAGCTGCTCTCTATTGTTGATTTCAGGCCACACTAATATAACATAGCTTTTTTATTTAGCTTCTTAAATGATCAATAAATCACATAGTCAAGAAAAATTACTCTAATACTTATCCTCTAGTCTTTGTTCATATTAGCTGTCTAATCAGAATAGCTGTAGAGTAACGTTTCTCTTTCTGTTTCAGAGTTTCATTGTCTTCAGTTGCAGTTCGGAAGCTGATGTGAACATTTGCCTCATTTGGTCTGAATGGCCTCTTAAAATAACATGCAACACTTTTGCAGCCGAGAAACAAAGCACAAAATAGATGAAATAGTTTCATTTGGTCACATTGTCCTCATTCATTCACATTTTTGCTGAAATAGTTTTATTTGGTCACAAAGTCCTAACCAGGGCTTTTTTCTCTAGCCGGAACTCATTTCACCGGAACTCATTTTTGACATCTCTCAGGTGGGTGTTGTTGCCATTCTAAGAGAATGAGTGAGATGTTCATTGTGAGTTCCAGCACCCATTTTCCTATTTTTTTATGTTCCAGTGTTGAAAACTAAGAACAATCATGGAAGCACAAATTCTTATATTATTTATATCTTTCGTTGCATTAAATGCTCTCTGGTGTTCAGGTCAGGCCTCACTACAATAATGTAGCATTTGGGGGAAAAGATGCATGCCAGTAATCCAGCACTAGAAGCCAAGATGGAGAAGATCTCCACAGCCACCATGTATTTTCCTCTGGTGCTCAGGTAAGTTGGAATAAAGGAGATCCAAACACTGCAAAAGACCAGCATGCTGAAGGTGATGAACTTAGCTTCATTGAAACTATCAGGTAACTTCCTGGCTAGGAAAGCCACAGTGAAGCTGACAGTGGCCAGGAAGCCCATGTAGCTCAAAACACAGTAGAACATGTGGACGGACCCTTCATTACATAAGAATATAATTTCTTCACTCATTGATTGCATGTCCAAATCTGGGAATGGGGGAAAAGTTGCCAGCCAAAGACCACAGAGCCCCACTTGAACAATGGAGCCAGAGAGGACAATGGAATAAGCCAGTTTTCTGCCTATCCACTTCCTGATTGTGGATCCTGGCTTGGTAGCCATGAATGCCAAAACCACTGATATGGTTTTGGCCAAGATGCTAGACAGGGCCACAGAGAAGACAATCCCAAAACTTGTTTGTCGGAGTGGGCAGGTTGCCTGCTTAGGTGTTCCAATGAAGATCAAGGAGCAGAGGAAACACAAGAGGAGGGACACAAGGAGAATGTAAGTGAGGCTTCTGTTGTTGGCTTTGATGATGGCAGTGTCCCGGTGTTTAATGAAGATGCCAAACACTAGAGCTGTGATCAGAGAAAACAGTAGTGCCGAGGAAGTTGAAATGATGGCCAAAGTTTCATCAAAGCCCAGAAAGTTTGGTATTTTAGGAATGCAATTATCCTGGTCTTGGTTTGGATACTTATTTGCTGGGCAACTGATACAAGTTTCCATGTCTGAAAAGACAAAATGAAATTATGAAGAAAATTCTTAATTTTTTTTGTCATCCAGAGTTCACCTGGTTTAATGTTCTTTACCAGGACAGCTTTCAAAACGTCTAGCCCAAATATGGAATTTCTACACAGAGGACATCTCTGTGTTTTAGTGTTCCTCCTCCTCTTTTTTAGAAATCTATGTAAAATGCAGTATGTTCTTTTCTAAAAAACATTTTCTTTAGGATGTTTTAAAGATTAAACAATTATCTGACTTTTAGAAGACATCTGAAGGCACCCCTGTTTAGGGAGGTTTTTAATGTTTAAAGTTTTATTCTGCTTTTAGTCCTCTGTTGGGAGCCTCCAGGAGTGGCTAGGGAAACCAAGCCAGATGTGCGGGGTATAAATAATAAAATTACTATTATTATTTATTATATTGTAAACAACAATAATAACCAATAATAATGATATAGAAATCCATTACTTAACCCTCCCCACAGCAGAATTTTAATGACAACAAAATTTTAAGGCTCTCAGAATTTGCTAAATAAATTGTGCAGTTTGGTCTATCTTAACATGACATTTCTCACCCTGTTCATTTGAGTACATCCCGCTGGGACATGGATCACAATCATAGCAACAAAATTTACTTGTTTCCTTTTTTTTCTTCCCGTAACCAGGGTGGCAGTTGTCATTACATACTGAAAGGGGTGGCACCTATCCAAAATATTGGAAGAATTTGGTTTTTTAAAAATGTTTTGGAGATTTAATCTTATACCAGGGGATGTATAAGCAATAGGAGGACCAATAATGCGAAACATATGCTCCATATATGCACCGGTGGCACATACAATTGGATAAAAAGCAGCCACATAGCTTCAAGTGAAGGTGCTGCACTGCTGTCTGAAGGTTGTGTTGGACAGGATGGTGGCTGAATCTTTATGCGTCCAAAGTTCTTTGGTTGAGTGGTTTCTGTCTCTCCGAAGGGATTGGGCTCATTATGAAGGAATATGTTTGTATTTTGGAAGTACTTTGAGATTCCAACTCATCACCAGGGTCTCAAGTGGCTTCTGTGGCTAGGGGCTGCTTATGCCCATCTTAGGTTGATGCACTAGCTGCAGCTATGCCTAGCATCATGCAAACTCCAGAAGATTATAATGTTCATTTTAAGCCCAAGCAATGCTGTAACAAGATTATCATTGTATCAGATTCCACTAACTGGAGATCTCCCTCTGGAACTTTACACAAAAGAATGGCTGACAACAGTATCTGATAGCCATTGGTCCTTAATGTGAGATGTCTTCTGTGCATGTTGCTCTTTTTCGTATTGTGGCTCATATGTTTATTTAGTGTTAGACCTTACAGTATTCCTTAAAGGACATTGCTTACTCCCTGGTGGCTTACAAATAAACAATATTAGCAATTTCCCTATCCTATACAATATAATATCACATACAAAGGAAATTGTGATTAACATCAACTGGGCAACAAGTAGGATCTCTTAAACTAACATGCTAGCATGTTCCCACAAGTAAAACCAATCATTCAAATATAGATTCTCTTCATTAAAATACTATCCATCTATAACCATGAATATTGGCATTTGAGCTATTTATTAGCTCACCTGAGTCAATCCCCTGTGCCACTTAATCTGTCCATCATTAATGGTGAGCTCTTTCCCTGGAGGGGCCTGAGGATCCAGCCTTCCCACTTTGACCCTGATGTAGGATCTATTTGGGAAAGTGATCAAATTTGTAATATCATAACCAGCTGCTAATTCTCCACGTTCATTTAATGTAATTTCATCACCAACAGAGTTGTTGAATGAGATCTTCTGTAGGAATGAGTGGAGCTAGGTGGAAAGAGAATCAAAAGATCTATAAAGTATTATAACGTTCTGATTAAGATTGTTGAATAGCTTTTCTAGATGCATTCAAGATCTTTATAACTAAGGGTTATAAAGTTTTAATTCAAAGTATAGTTTATGGCAGGGTAGAATTGGTAGAACCACTCTTGTTTTCTGCAAATGAAGGAATTTATACCACACACACCACATATGGAACAAAAGTTACATGCTGTCATGTCAAAAGACTTCTTTTATGCCCCCTTTCCATTTCACTTATTAATCATATTGTGTGATGATATGTTCTTGCATAATTGGGGCTGGTCAGGGACATATTAGAATCTTTGCAATTGCTTCTCCTTGCCAATATCTCACCTCTAGGAGGAAGATGGTCTAAGGATCATATTTGGAGTGGACATGACAACTTAGGGGTTTTAAAAAGTTAATGTTATGACAAAACCTCCCAATGATTTATGTTCTGCTTAATGAGCATAGCCTGCAACTCAGTAGGCATCTTCTTTTAGATTTGAGGAGGCCATTCAAAAGTCTCCATTACAGAAATCAGGTAGGATATTTTGAAGGAAATTCTTTGTAAGCAGGTATTTCTGTCACTTCCTGGCGGTTGGATGATGGACGGCAGCTAATGGATTGAGGTTGAATCCCGACAAGACAGAAGTACTGTTTTTGGGGGACAGGGGGCGGGCTGGTGTGGAGGACTCCCTGGTCCTGAATGGGGTAACTGTGCCCCTGAAGGACCAGGTGCGCAGCCTGGGAGTCATTTTGGACTCACAGCTGTTCATGGAGGCGCAGATCAATTCTGTATCCAGGGCAGCTGTCTACCAGCTCCACCTGGTACAGAGGCTGAGAGCCTACCTGCCCGCGGACTGTCTTGCCAGAGTGGTACATGCTCTAGTCATCTCCCACTTGGACTACTGAAATGCGCTCTACGTGGGGCTACCTTTGAAGGTGACCCAGAAACTACAACTAATCCAGAATGTGGCAGCTAGACTGGTGACTGGGGGCCTCCACCGAGACCACATAACACCGGTCTTGAAAGACCTACATTGGCTCCCAGTACGTTTCCGAGCACAGTTCAAAGTGTTGGTGTTGACCTTTAAAGCCCTAAATGGCCTCGGCCCAGTATACCTGAAGGAGCGCCTCCACCCCCATCGTTCTGCCCGGACGCTGAGGTCCAGCGCTGAGGTTTTGAACAATCTCTCTGGATGACAATAATTAAGCCCACTATTCTTGAGACTCTTGAGAGTCCCATACACTGCAAGAAGATCAAACCTATCCATTCTTAAGGAAATCAGCCCTGAGTGCTCACTGGAAGGACAGATCCTGAAGCTGAGGCTCCAATACTTTGGCCACCTCATGAGAAGAGAAGGCTCCCTGGAAAAGACTCTGATGTTGGGAAAGATTGAGGGCACAAGTAGAAGGGGATGATAGAGAACAAGGTGGTTGGACAGTGTTCTCGAAGCTAGGAACATGAGTTTGACCAAACTGCAGAAGGCAGTGGAAGACAGGAGTGCCTGGAGTGCTCTGGTCCATGGGGTCACAAAGAATCGGACACGACTAAACGACTAAACAACAACAACAAATGAATTTATTGAGAAGCTGCAGTTTGTTATTCTAGGATGCGCCTCCTACCCCATATTACTTTTTTTAAAAAGGTATATTGGGAACTTAGAGATACTTTTTCAATATTGACAGTTTGAATAATTAGTTATATCTAGTGCAATGCGAAACGACTCTACTGCCTCATTTCACCAATGGCTTCCTTCTCTGCAAATTAAGAGTTGATTTTTCTGATGCTGTTGCTGGTGTTGGCAGCACAGAGAAGGTTTTTCAAAGTTTGTATGGGTGAGTCAGAAAGTTCTTAAGAAACTCAAAGAGGGAAGGGAATTGCCTATATTATTTCTTATCCTTACATAACATCACAAGGTGGCCAAGTGGAGAATGTGTTTGATTTTAATTTGCTTTCTCTTTTTAGCTTATGGCATCCCTATACTTTGCTAGACCAGTGCATACAATCAAAAGGTAGGAAAAGGAAAAAGAAGACAGGCACACCTTCCTAGCAAATATATTTAAACAATTATGCCACATCTAACCAAACTTGGTTTGGATTTCTGTTACTACCCACCCCATGGTTACTATGCACCCCAAAGCTATAAAAATTGTCTAATTAAATGTCATTTGAAATATTGGAAAACACTACTACTATCAGGCAGTGCACAATAGAGAACACTTTGTAAACCAAACTTTTTTTTTTATTACAGCAAACACTACCTTCCAAGGCTCTATATTCTGAGGAGATCGTCTCCCTGCAGCCTCCATTCTTCTGTGGTTGGATGCAGCCAAGTGCCTATGTAAGGCATGTGCCAAAGCAGAGACAGCATTATAGATACTGTAGCTGTGGCTGGTCATGCTCATTTCCAAAAAATGGTGCAGGAAGGCTCTCCAGCATTTCCTCTCCAGTACAATGCTTAGCTTTGTATGTTGACTTAGTAGAGTCTGCAAATGAACAATCGAATGCTTGTTCCCAGAAACCTGTGATAAAGCGATTTCCCTCTTCCCAGGAAGGATTTACATTCTGCAGAAAGTATCGGAAGTCATGAATTTCCTTGGAATGAATTGCAAAGGAGATAGCACCATGGAACATTTGTATATTAACATCAATCAGTTTCTGAAGAACGTATACTATGAAATCAATTTGAGCTGTGGTAATCCATACTTTTCCTTCAGGTAAGTTCTTTTTGGACTGGGAAAGTATGAACTCAGTTAACTTCATTATAGTTAGAGCAGTTGACAACCATATAATAGATGCACTTTCTCCATATACAACAACTGCATTTGCTTTGCTTGTTATGAAAGTTGGGGACAAAATCTTTGTATCATCCACCATATGAAGTATGTTATCTTTGAAATGCACATGGTGTTCAACTCTTTCTGTGAATGCTGAACAGATTCCATTTTTGAAAAACATTGGTTCAATGGCATTCAAGAAACGTTCCCCAGCTTCATTAGCTGGAGTGATGAGCCCAACCCATTTCCATCCAAAATGCAGAAGCAGCTGGATAATTCCTTGATACTGAAGAGCTTCTTCAGGAGCCATGTGGTAAAAGGAAGGGAACTTAATGTGATCATTCATGGATGCTTCAAATGAACCATATGAAATCTGAAGAATAAAAAAAGAGAACCATTCCAAATGGATGGAAGAATTCATAATAAACATATTTATCCCACATGTCGCAAATTTACTGATCTTGCTCAATTTCCTATTTCATATGGAAAGCATTTCTAGTTAACATGTCCTGAGCTTATATGATCCACTGATAATATTTTCCCCAGAAACCTGTAACCTGTAACCTGAAGCGTCTGTAACCCGAGGTACCACTGTATATGATTCCATCTGGTTGCCCCATTTACCACCTTGGCACTTTTGAATCAATCTTCCCTTACACGCATTAAGCACACATCCTTTGTGATCTTGTCCCTCTCATGCACATTGTTAGAGACCCCCATGCTATAACAACAACAAACCCATACATTTAAGTCCCTTTCAATTGTCCTTGTTTATGACACTCCATATTTATGAATCAATAGACTCCTACTGAAAAGAGAGCTGAAGAGTGAATTATGGTGTGAAATCTCAATTTTCTCTTATCCAGAATGTTCCTACCTGTGGAATTTTGTAAAGACCCAAGATGTCTGCCATGCACAAGGTGACCTCAGAGCTCAGTCCTCCAATGACTCCTATTACATTTTCCTGGTAGCCACATTTGTAGTTGGGGACAAAGATATGTGTGTTAAACAGCAGATCCAGAGTGGTGCGGTAGGTCATCTTACAGTTACAGTAGCTGTCATAGATGTGGAACCCAAGACTGACATTGGGCAAGACCTTGGGATTCTCATTGATCTCATCAATCGCAAACACCAGGGCAAGGATGTGCTGGAAGAACTTTGGTAACACGCTGTGAATAAAGTGGCATTATTTCATGGGGAAATAAAATAGTGCACATAATCTAGTTTTGAGAGGTACAACTTTCAAACTATTGTGGTATATAAGGACTATAAGGAAAGGCACCAAAGTTAGTCATGAAGTAAGTATTATTGGAAAGATGGGTCTTGTTTTGTTCCTTTAGAATGTCTGGATTCCTCTTTAGCCCAAATCTGTTTTTTTAATTCCCCAGACACATAGATTCTGAAGAGACCTATACAGAATGGGTCAGAAATTTTCTTGAATTTAACTTCATCTTTTGCATTTCTGACCATGTTGTTCCTTCTCTGTATTCAGTTTCATCTGTAATCATGTGCTTTGTCATATGGTTATGCTACAGTTTTTGAAATTATTGCTGTATCCCTTTGGCAGTAGCTTTCTCTGGAAATGGAAATTTGCATTAAATGATAATAAAGCTCATGATAGCTGCCATTTTAAATGCAAAGTATCAGGTTTTCAAGAGAATAAAGATACAGCAATGGAGAGTTTCACATATCATATTTCTACCAAGTATGCCTACTTGTGAGCTAGCAATGATGGTTGTGAAAGGCTCGGATCCCATGTTTACTAAATGCTTTGAAACCATTCTCCATTACTAACTTACCTCTGATTCTTTCCGATAAAAATGAACACAAGTATTTGACCCCCGCCCCCAATTCATCAAGGAAACACAGGCTGGCTTTCACTTGCTATGAATCCTCATAACACCCCCTAGGCTGTAGGTAACCCACAGTTTTATCTATGTAAGAAGTTTTAGCTATTTAAGTCTCACCTACCTGTGTTGTACACTTTTTATCTGCAACTGCAAGTACACTAAGTAAAAGTTATTGGTTCTTTAAACTTTAAAAGGGAATGTCTTGCATAGTTTTTATAGGAGAAAAAAAGAGAACTCATTAAAGGATCAAATGACCCAAGGCTGATTTCTGCACGCTCTGGAAATGGGAACTAGAGTCTAATTCCCACAAGAAGTGCATCTGGCAACTTCACTACGTAGCTTTCAGCAAATACTGAAGAGGCACCTCCACACTCTCCAAGATTCCCTATTTTACAGGGACGTCCCTGATTAAGAGAAGCCATCCTGGTTTATGATTGGATCCCGGAATGTCCCAGTTTTCCTTAGGATGTCATTTTGGACTCACTGCTGTCCATGGAGGCGCAGGTTAACTCTGTGTCCAGGGCAGCTGTCTACCAGCTCCACCTGGTACACAGGCTAAGACCCTACCTGCCCGTGAACTGTCTCGCCAGAGAGGTGCATGCTCTAGTTATCTCACGCTTGGACTACTGCAACGCGCTCTACGTGGGGCTACCTTTGAAGGTGACCCGGAAACTGCAATTAATCCAGAATGCGGCAGCTAGACTGGTGACTGGGAGTGGCCGCTGGGACCACATAACACCGGTTCTGAGAGATCTGCATTGGCTCCCAGTACATTTCCAAGCACGATTCAAAGTGTTGGTGCTGACCTTTAAAGCCCTAAACGGTCTTGGTCCTGTATACCTGAAGGGGCGTCTCCACCCCCATCGTTCAGCCCGGACACTGAGATCCAGCGCCGAGGGCCTTCTGGTGGTTCCCTCATTGCGAGAAGTGAGGCTACAGGGAACCAGACAGAGGGCCTTCTCGGTAGTGGCGCCCGCCCTGTGGAACGCCCTCCCATCAGATGTCAAAGAGATAAATAATTACCTGACATTCAGAAGACATCTTAAGGCAGCCCTGTTCAGGGAAGTTTTTAATATGTAACGCTGTACTGTTTTTAACACTGATTGGGAGCCGCCCAGAGTGGCTGGGGAAACTCAGCCAGATGGGCGGGGTATAAATAATAAATTATTATTATTATTATTATTATTATTATTATTATTATTATTATTATTATTATTATTACTTTCATTGGAGAAATGTTGTGTGGAGTTATCCGACCCCCGAGCCATCTGAAGGCAGCCATGTATAGGGAAGTTTTTAAATGTTTAATGTAATATTATGTTTTTATATATGTTGGAAGCCACGCAGAGTAGCAACCCAATGAGTTGCAGAATTGGATCACAAAATCTTAATGATTCCTAATGTCCAAGTGAGAGTTTAGACGTGGCTAGTATGCACAGATGTTTCTCATACAGTCTATCAAATCTTTCAAATAAATACAGTCAATTGATTAATACAGTTTATTAATACAATTCTAAAATTACTCATTCAAAACAAAGTATATTTCAGTCAAATATAAAAATGTAAAGAATTAATAAAATCATATTAAAGACTATTTACTTACAGTGGGTTGTTAATGAAGGCTTCAGAGGGGTGTATATTAAATAAAACATTGGGGAAGACGTAGCGGATATGAGATGCTATGCCACCAATGACAGGGTCGCCTGGCTCATACCACTCATGTGGAATAGGTACAGGATTAGTTGTGGTAAAATGAGCACTATGCACTTGGCACACCATGTTGGGGAAGAGCAAGAGAAGCAGCAGCAGCAAGGTTCTACACATGGACTCTTCTTTGCCTCTCTACAATATCATCATCATTATCATCAGCAGCCTGATTTGAACAGCATCGATTTGGAGGCAGCAGACTCTGCCAGTTCAGTGATTAAAGGGACATGCATACATCTTATCATTAAACACTGTTGCAAAGACCGGCCTTGAATGGTAAATAAGATGAAGTGATTTGAAGTATTGCCTATACAATCACAGAGCCTGGCTTCTCTCTTCTGCATTATTCTAACTGTCTATGAAACCTTTCAGGCTTGCTTGCTGATTCTCCCCCACCCAACATTTTGCCTTCTGGAGCATTGGCAAGGTGACTTAATTATTGTAATTTTAATAATTACAGGGGAGACAATCACTTCTTGCCATTTTTTAAGGACTCCATGTTGCACCATCATTAGTAGAACTGTCAAATAAATATATTTATCACCTCATGGAATTATAGGTTAGGAAATACATGATTTTGCTTGTTTTTTGTTGTTTTTTTGTATGCAACCATGTACTGGAGAAGTGAGAAAATGGAGGGAGGTAGATACTGCTTCTTGTGCCTTCGTGGGTACCTTGTCAGCAAGGTGTTGATGGAAGCAACATGATAACTTTCTATTTGTGTGAGCAGCAAGTTCTCACCAAGAACAATGGCTTCTGGGTACCTAGGTCAATTATATGAATGTAATGGGGGAGGGGAACTGGATAATTTTGGGGAGGGGATGTCTTTGCCATTTCACACTGGGTTCCCTTTGATCCTTTGACACATCACCCAGCCTATCACTTCACGGGAAATTAGCTTATATTAATCAGCTGCTGATTCAGGGGATTAGAGATGTCTAGTACATAGTTTGGCATCCCAAACCCTAATTAAATTCTGACACTTGCTGGGTCCAGAATTTATAGTGGTCTGGCAACCACAAGCTCTATATAGCTTCATAAAAATAAATAATAAGTTTCTGTTTTCATCTCAAAGTTCCAGTTTCTTCAGTTGAAATTTGGATCCGCTTTTCAACTGTTTTTCACATTTGGTCAGAACAGCTTCTTTAAAGAAGAGACAACCATTTTGCAACCCAGAAATAAAAGATTTTTTATTACATAAATTGATTTACATATGTTGATATTTTGACTTAGAATACAAAGAACATGTATGAACCCAGAAAGTCTTCTGTTTATATCTTTCTTTGTATTAGATGCTACTTGTGGAGGATTGAATGACATAGCCTCTGATGATGTTAAAGTCAATTTAGATTGTAGTGAAGTTGCTTGTCAGTGTGAAGCCCAGATATATCATTCAGAACTACAATAGCTTCAGGCATAGAATTTCTGGATCCTGGATCCTGGGTGCAGCACAGCCTTATGCCCACATAGCTGCAGCAATTGCTCTAGTAAGTGGTTGGATAGGTACAGGTAAACTCTGCATCGATCACTATCTTCTTGGGAGCAGAGCTGGTCCAGAACACTTTGGTGCCTGAGGTAAGCCACAAAATGGCATCTCCATCCTCTCCAGGGAAGAAGGAATGAGTGAATGTCTCCATCAGGAGCAAGTGGGGAATAAAGATCAACATTGGGATCTGCTGCCCCTGTGGATCTTGCCACCAGAGATGGTTGCCTCACCTTTCCTCATGGGAGGGCCAGCCCTGCTTGGGAATCATGCAACACACTGTTATCCTCAATCCCTTTATCTTCCCCTTGTAGTGTAGGAACTTATTACTTTGAGTTTGAATGCGTGAGGATATGCACCCATGGTTCTATATATTCTGAACTATGCTAATCAATCTATTGTTAAAAGATCATTTATTCTTTTGTAATAAACCAACTGTATGGGGAACAGTCCAGTTTGTGAGAGCTCTTTACTGGGCATAAGATAATTTGGCCCTATTCCCAGAGCTGTGTCCATTTGACTCCAGAAAAATAGCTCACAAGGCAGTGTGTTTTAGTGTCAGATACTGACAGGAGGAGAAGAAGCAGGCACAGGGAGAGGACAGTTAACAGCAGAAAGCAGAGAGGAGGGGGAGAGCAGCTGTAATCTGAGCTCTGACCAAAGGGACAGTCAGATGTGTGAGAACTCCAATAGTTGGCAAGACGTTGGAATGCAGGAAACACTCTCTGCCAAATCTCAGGATTTCAAAAGTGGCAGAGACACACGAAAGATACTGGAAGAGAAGATGGGGGCTTCCGTGCTGGGGAAGGGGGAGGAGCTCAGTCCGGGCAACTCCATCTTCTGGGGAGGACAATGTGTAGAGGAGCGCCATCTAGTTTGTTGTTTTAGCAATAAATCTGAAATAATTAACAGCCAGAGTCATCTCATGTTTGTGGGAGAAACCAAGCCGTAATATTTAGGGGTGAGTTAGTTTGTAGACACAAATGGGGATTCCAATATACACTTGTCCGACCTCATGTTCCTAAACTGATACCAAGAACATAAGTGAAACTACAAACACATCTGTCATTTACATACAGTGGTACCTCGGGTTACATATGCTTCAGGTTACATACGCTTCAGGTTACAGACTCCGCTAACCCAGAAATAGTACCTCGGGTTAAGAACTTTGCTTCAAGATGAGAACAGAAATTGTGCTCCGGCTGTGCAGCAGCAGCAGGAGGGCCCATAGGCTAAAGTGGTGCTTCAGGTTAAGAACAGTTTCAGGTTAAGAACGGACCTTCGGAACAAATTAAGTACTTAACCCGAGGTACCACTGTATTTCTCTATATCAGTTGCTCTCTATTGTTGAATTAAGGCCTCACTAATATAACATAGCTTTTTTATTTAGTTTCTTAAATAATTAATATACCACTTAGTAAAAAACAACTCTAATACTTAACTTCATTTACGTTAGCTGTCTAATCAGAAAAACTATAGAATAATGTTGATGTTTCTCTTTCAATTTCAGAGTTTCATTGTCTTCAGTTGAAGTTCAGAAGGTTATGTGAACATTTGCCTCATTTGGTCTGAATGGCCTCTTAAAATAACATGCAACAATTTTGCAGCCCAGAAACAGAGCACAAAACAGCTGAAATATTTTCATTTGGTCACATGTCCTCATTCCTTCACATTTTTGACATTTCAGTGTTGAAAATTAAGAACAATCATAGAACTACAAATTTTTATATTATTTATATCTTTCTTTGCATTAGATGTTCTCTGGTGTTCAGGTCTGGCCTCACAAGAATAATGTAGCATTTGGGGAAAAAGATGCAAGCCAGTAATCCAGCACTAGAAGCCAAGATGGAGAAGATCTCTACAGCCACCATGTATTTTCCTCTGGTGCTCAGGTAAGTTGGAATAAAGGAGATCCAAACACTGCAAAAGACCAGCATGCTGAAGGTGATGAACTTGGCTTCATTGAAGCTGTCAGGTAACTTCCTGGCTAGGAAAGCCACAGTGAAGCTGACAGTGGCCAGGAAGCCCATGTAGCTCAAAACACAGTAGAACATGTGGACAGACCCTTCATTACATAAGAATATAATTTCTTCACTCATTGATTTCATGTCCAAATCTGGGAATGGGGGGAAAGTTGCCAGCCAAAGACCACAGAGCCCCACTTGAACAGTGGAGCCAGAGAGGACAATTGAATAAGCCAGTTTTTTGCCTACCCACTTTCTGATTGTGGATCCTGGCTTGGTAGCCATGAATGCCAAAACCACTGATATGGTTTTGGCCAAGATGCTAGACAGGGCCACAGAGAAGACGATGCCAAAACTTGTTTGTCGGAGTGGGCAGGTTGCCTGCTTAGGTGTTCCAATGAACATCAAGGAGCAGAGGAAACACAAGAGGAGGGACACAAGGAGAATGTAAGTCAGGCTTCTATTGTTGGCTTTGACAATTACGGTGTCCTTGTGCTTAATGAAGATGTCCAACACTAGAGCTGTGATCAGAGAGAACAATAGTGCAGAGGAAGTTGAAATGATGGCTAAAGTTTCATCAAAGCCCAGAAAGTTTGGTATCTTAGGAATGCAATTATCCTGGTCTTGGTTTGGATACTTATTTGCTGGGCAACTGATACATGTTTCCATGTCTGAAAAGACAAAATGAAATTACAAAGACAATTCTTAAGAATTTTAGTCATCAGGAGTCCACCTAGCTAATGTTCTTTACCAGGGTAGCTTTCAGTCTTCTAACTCAAAGACTTTTCTCTGAGATATTTCAAAAATAGAGCTCATGCATCAAATCTGGAATTTCTACATAGAGGATATCTCTATTTTTTAGTGGCCCTCCCGCTCTTTTTTAGAATGCTCTGTAGTGAAGAGAGAGCAACATTACAGCTGAAATTTGTGAACCCAGAGAGGTCCACTGAATGAGACATTCAATCTCTCCCCAAACTGCCTTCTTCTTCATGGAGTGACCATCACTTCTATTCCATCAGAATTTAGTAGACTTTGGATGTAAAATGTATTACATTCCTTTCTGAAAAAATATTTTCTTCAGGATTTTTTAAAGATTATATTGTAAACAATGAGAACAATACAGAAATCAATTATTTAACCCCCACACCACAACAAAATTTTAAGGACCTCAGAGTTGGCTAAATAAATTGTGCATTTTGGTCTATCTTAAGATGACATTTCTCACCCTTTTCATTTGAGTACATCCCGCTGGGACATGGTTCACAATCATAGCAACAAAATTTACTTCTCTCCTTCTTTTTCTTCCCGTAACCAGGACGGCATTTGTCATTACATACTGACAGGGGTGGCACCTATCCAAATATATAGGAATAATTTTGTTTTTAAAGGTTTTATGGGATTTAATCTAACATCAGGGGATCTATCAGCAATAGGAGGACCAATAATGTGAAACCTATGATCCATATGGGCACAAGTGGAACATAAAATGGGATAAAAAGCAGCCGTTAAGCATTATTAGATTTGAGTATATCTTAGCGGTTTTGCTTCTACTTGCAGAGTTGTTACATGAATGTTCTACTAAGAGCATCTTGCTTAGTTCCATGGTTTTGGGGCTGTGGTTCCCCATGAGGTTTCAGGTTCTTTCATCTTTGTGATTAAACATTTACATGAAACAGTTAGGGGCTATCTTCAAGGAATCTGGAGCACAGTGTTCATATGTATACTGATGATGAACACCGGTATCTTAGAATTCCGTTGGAATGAGCAGAAACAGTGAAGGTGCTGCACTGCTGTCTGAAGGTGGTGTTGGACAGGATGGTGGCTGAATCCTTATAATTCCAAAGTGCTTTGGGTGAGTGGATTCTGTCTCTCAAAAGGATTGGGATCCCTTCTGGGAGGGATTGGACTCAATGTGAAGGAAGAAGTTTGTAGTCTGGAACTACCTTGAGATTCCAACTCATCACTAGGGTCTCAAGTGGCTTCTGTGGCTGGTCTGCTTATGCCCCTTTTAGGTTGATGCACTAGGTGCAGCTATGCCTAGATGTATACCTGCTGCACCTAGCATCATGCAAACTCCAGAAGATTATAATGTTCATTTTAAGCCCAAGCAATGCTGTAAGAAGCTTAGCATTATATCAGATTCCACTAACTGGAGATCTGCCTCTGGGACGTCACATAAAAGAATGTCTGACAACAGTATCTGATAGCCATTGGTCCTTAATGCGAGATGTCTTCTGTGCATGTTGCTCTTTTTCGTATTGTGGCTCATATGTTTATTTAGTGTTAGACCTTACAGTGTTCCTTAAAGGACATTGCTTACTCCTTGGTGGCTTACAAATAAACAATATATAGAAAGGCAATTTTCATATCATATACAATATAATATCACATACAAAGCAAATTGTGATTAACATCAGCTGGGCAACAAGTAGGATCTCAATAATAATAATAATAATAATAATAATAATAATAGTAACAATAATAAATTTATTTATATCCCGTCCGCCCCAGCTGAAGCCGGGCTCAGAGAGGCTAACAACAGTAAAATGATAAAACATTCTAAAATCTAAACTAACATGCTAGCGTGTTCCCACAAGTAAAGCCAATTGTTCAAATAGAGATTCTCTCCATTAAAATACTATCCATCTATACATGAATTTCCTCTCTATACACCCTACTTTTCTCTCCGAGGAAACATCACATTTAATCAGGTGCTAAGTGAAAAAAGCCTCCTTGTTTTCATTGCATCCCATTTTATTTGGATAACCAAATGATGTTGGCATTTGAGAAATTTATTTCCTCACCTGAGTGAAGTCCCTGTGCCATTTAATTTGTCCATCATTAATGGTGAACTCTTTGCCTCGAGGGGCCTGAGGATCCAGCCTTCCCACTTTGACCCTGATGTAGGATCTATTTGGGAAAGTGATCAAATTTGTAATATCATAACCAGCTGCTAATTCTCCATGTTCATTTAATGTAATTTCATCACCAACAGAGTTGTTGAAGGAGATCTTCTGTAGGAATGAGTGGAGCTAGGTGGAAAGAGAACCAAAAGGTCTATAAAGTATTATAACATTCTGATTAAGATTGCTGAATAGCTTTCCTAGATGCATTCAAGATCTTTATAACTAAGGGTTATAAAGTTTTAATTCAAAGTACAGTTTATGAAAGTGTAGAATTGGGAGGACCATTCTTGTTTTCTGCAAATGAAGGAATTTTATACCATACATGACACAGTCAGATTGATAATTTTTGAATACCGTACATTCGAAAGAAAGGTTACATATTGTCATATTAAAAGACGTCTATTATGCCCCTTTTCCATCTCACTTTTTAATCAGTATTATGTTATTATATGTTCTTGGATAATTGGGACCAATCAATCACATATTAAAATATGTGCAATAGTTTCTCCATGCAGATACTCTAACTCTAAGAGGAACGTGCTCTAGGAGAGGGGAGATGACAACTGAGGGTTGTTGTTTTTTAAGTTAACATTATGACAAACCCCCTCTTTAATTTATGTTCTGCTATAAGAAGCATAGCCTGCAGTGCAGTAGAAATCTTCATTGTTTGTTTCTTTAACCTTTTATTTGTTTTATTTATAACTAAATACCAACTCACATAAAATATCAAGGCAGGGCACAATAGTGAACACTTTGCAAACCAAACTTTTTGTAACCGCAAACATTACCTTCCAAGGCTCTACATTCTGAGGAGATCGTCTGCCTGCAGCCTCCATTCTTCTGCTGTTGGATCCAGCAAAGTGCCTATGTAAGGCATGTGCCAAAGCAGAGACAGCATTATAGATACTGTAACTGTGGCTGGTCATGCTCATTTCAAAAAATGGCGCAGGAAGGCTCTCCAACATTTCCTCTCCGGTACAAGGCTTAGCTATCTTTGTTGACTTTGTGGAGTGTGCAAGTGAACAATCAAATGTTTGTTCCCAGAAACCTGAGATAAAATCATCTCCCTCTTCCCAGGAAGGATTTACATGTTGCAGAAAATCTCGGAAGTCACGAACCTCCTTGGAATGAATTGCAAAAGAGATAGCACCATGCAACATTTGTATATTAACATCAATAACTTTCTGAAGTTCATATAAAATGAAATCAATCTGAGCTGTGGTAATCCATACTTTTCCTTCACGTATGTTCTTTTTAGACTGGGAAAATATGAACTCAGATAACTTCATCAGCTTTAGAGCAGTTGACAACCATGTAATAGATGCACTTTCTCCATATACAACAACTGCATTTGCTTTGCTTGTTATGAAAGCTGGGGACAAAATCCTTGTCTCTCTCAGCATATCAGTTATCTTACCAGTGACATGCACATGGTATTCAGCTCTTTCTGTGAATGCTGAACAGATCCCATTTTTGAAAAACATTGGTTCAATTGTATTCAAGAAATGCTCTCCAGCTTCATTCGCTGGAGTGATGAGCCCAACCCATTTCCATCCAAAATGCAGAAGCAACTGGATAATTCCTTGATACTGAAGAGCTTCATTAGGAGCCAGGTGGTAAAAAGAAGGGAATTTAATTTGATCATTTGTGGCTGCTTCAAATGAACCATATGAAATCTGAAAAAGAAAAAAGACAACCATAAGGAATTGATGGAAGTATTCATAAAAAACCTATTTATCCCACACATCTCAAATTTACTGTTGTTGGTTTGTTTTTTTTTTTGGGGGGGGGGAGGAACCCACTTCCTCTTACATAAAAAAATGCACAAGCCATCTTGCTCAATTTCCTATTTTATATGGGGAACATTTCTAGTTAACATGTCCTGATCTTATATGATCCATTGACAATATGTTCCCAGGACATATGATCCCATCTGTATATCCCATTTACCATCCTGGCACCTTTGAATTAATCTTCCCTTAAATGCATTAAGCACACATCCTTTGTAAACTTGCCCCTGTCATGAACATTGTTGGAGACCCCATGCTATAACATCAGCAACAAATCCATACATTTCAGTCCCTTTCAATTGTCTCTGTTATACCACTCCAAATTTATAAATTCATAGTCTTCTACTGGAAAAAGAGTTGAAGAGTGAATTATGGTGTGAAAACTCAATTTTCTGATACCCAGAATGTCCCTACCTGTGGAATTTTGTAAAGACCCAAGATGTTTGCCATGCACAAGGTGACCTCAGAGCTCAGTCCACCAATGACTCCTATTACATTTTCCTGGGAGCCACATTTGTAGTTGGGGACAAAGGTATATGAGTTAAACAGCAGATCCAGAGTGGTGCGGTAGGTCATCTTAGATTGATAGTAGCTGTCATAGATGTGGAACCCAAGAGTGACATTGGGCAACACCTTGGGATTCTCATTGATCTCATCAATCGCAAACACCAGGGCAAGGATGTGCTGGTAGAACTTTGATAACACGCTGTGAATAAAGTGGCATTATTACGTGGGGAAAGTAAATAGTGTACAAAATCTACATCTGAGAGAGAGAACTTTCAGAGGAAAGATGGGTCTTGTTTTGTTCCTTGTTTTGTTCTGTTAGAATATTTGAATGACTCTTTAGCTCAAATCTTTTTTTATTTTATTTCTCAAAGACATAGATTGTGAATATACAGAATGGGTCAGGAATTTTCTTGACTTTCACTTCATCTAGAAATAACTGCTGTGTCATATGACTATGCTACAGTTTTTGAAATTATTGCTATATCCCTTTGGCTGTAGCTTTCTCTGGAAATGCAAACTTGCATTAAATGATAATAAAGCTGACGGCAGTTGCAATTTTCAATGCAAATCATCAGGTTTTCAAGAGAATAAAGATACAGCAATGGAGAGTTTCACATGTATTTCTACCAAGTATGCCTACTTGTATGCTAGCAATGATAGCGAGTGTACTCTCTGCTTCTTTTTCCCCTCAGAATGTGGGATGTTAGCATCCAAAATGCATATGTAAAAGGTTAATTTCAAGAGCTGTAGAACTCTGTGAGGTCATACAAGTTGTGGAAGTTATGACAGTTGACAGTTATGGCAGTTAACTGAACAGTCTTAACAGTTGGAGCAGCATTGATGAACTGTTGTGCTGCTCTCTGCCAGAACTGTACACAATATTCCATAATTAGTATAATAGCATTATGATGTGTACAGTATTCCTTTTTAGATGAGGTGACCGGAACACAGTATTCCAAGTGTAGTCGCACCATAGATTTTTGCTTTTTCTGAACCTTTCCCAGATGTACAATATATCTTTTTAGATGAGGTGACCAGGACACTATTCCATAATTAGTATGATAGCATTATGATTTGGGTGGTTTTGGTTTCAGTCCCTTAAGGCTTAAGTGAGGATTTCTAGAATGGAATTTGTCATTTCTACAGTTTCTATACACTGAGTCATTATTTTCAATGAGCTATCCATTAATGTCCCCGTAACTCATTTGTGGTCAATCACCCCCAGTTTAAACACCATAGACTTATAAGTGAATGAAGGACTCCCCCCCCCAAAAAAACAACAACATAGATCACTTTACAGATTGAATTACATTCATCATTTAACTGTCTATACATCCAGTTTGGCAAAATATGTTTGGAGCTCTTCACAATTCATTTTTGTTTTAGGCACTCTGAAAATTTTTGTCACGTCAGCAAATTTGGCTGCTTTATTTCTTAGGTTTTTATGCCGCCCTGTTCTATTCTTACTCAATTTTCTCTTTGCAGAATTGGATCACTAAATCTTAAGGATTCCTAATGTCTAACTGACAGTGCAGACATAACCTGTATGCACAGATATTTCTTATATCATCCATCAAATCAATGCAGTTCTAAAACTATTCATTCAAAACAAAGGATATTTCAGTCAAATATAAAAATGTAAAGAATGAAAAAAATAATATTAAGGACTATTTACTTACATTGGTCTGTCAATCAAGACTTCAGAGGGGTGTTTATTGAATAAAACAGTGGGGAAGAGGTAGCGGATATGAGATGCTATCCCACCAATGACAGGGTCACCTGGCTCATACCACTCATGTGGAATAGGTACAGGATTAGTTGTAGTAAAATTAGCACTATGCACTTGGCACACCATGTTGGGGGAGAGCCAGAGAAGCAGCAGCAGCAGCAAGGTTCTACACATGGACTCTTCTTTGCCTCTCTACAACATCATCATCATTATCATCATCAGCCTGATTTGAACAGCATGGATTTGGAGGCAGCTGATTCTGCCAGTTCAGTGCTTAAAGGGACATGCATGCATCTTCTCATTAAACTCTGTCGCAAATACCTGCCTTGAATGGTAAATAAGATGATGTGATTTGATATATGACCTGTACAATCACAGAGCCTGGCCTCTCTCTCCTGCATTATTCTAACTGTCTATGGGACACTGGGAGACTATAAACATTTCAGACTTGATTGCTGATTCTCCCCCACCTCACATTTTGCCTTCTGGAGCATTGACAAAGTGACTTAATTATTGTCATTTTAATAATTGCAGGGGAGACAATCACTTGCAATTTTTTACGGACTCCATGGCGCAACATCTTTGGCAGAACCGTCAAGTAAACATTTGTTGCCTCAGGCAATTCTCAATTAGGAAAAGTAAGATTTTACTAGTTTGCTAGGTAAATCATTGAGATCAGATGCCAGCCTCGCAAACTGGCGCAGGGCTGGCAGTGAGGCGTGAATAGCCAAAGTCGAAGCTCCTCCTAAAAAATGCACCTGGGTCTATCATTCTTTAATTGAACCATTGACCCTTCTGTGAATCCTCACCAACCCAAAAATATATACAGTAAAATGAACTTCAAGGAAAAAGCAGGCACTATACAATCCAAAACAGAAAAGCAAAACAGATGAAAAAGGGCTGATATCCAACTGCATCCATTTATAAATGGGACAAACTTCTACAAGTGGAGAAGAAAGAGAAAAAGAGCTATTACACAGTGGTACCACATATGGTTCATGTGCAGAGGGTCTGACATTCAATACCTAACATCTCCAGGTATTGCTGGAAGAGACCCCAGTCTGAAACCTTATAAAGCTGCTGTCCATCATTGTAGACAATATGGAACTAAATGCAGTAGTGAATTGGTTCAGTATAATCTAGCTTCCCTTCCTTCTCTTCCCTCTGCAGCTTCCCATAGGAGCGTACCGATGGTGTGCAGGAGAAGCAGAGGAAAGAGAAACGAGGGGTGAGGGGAGACTTTGTGCTGGCTATCAGGCAATGGCTTTTCCCACCTGCCTTGCCCCACCCTTCAGCCCTAGGAGCCTTTCACAAGACCATGACTTTAGGAAAAGCAGAAGCAGGCTTTCAGTCATTTGATGTTGCATAGCATCCATAGTTTCATTCCTTCACACAGCCCCTATTCATTAACACCTCTATTATGTAGGTCTATTATGCTTGACCTACATTTTGTGTTTGTAACTGGATAAGAAGTTGAATGCGGGTGGCGCTGTGGGTTAAACCACTGAGCCTAGGACTTGCCGATCAGAAGGTCAGGGGTTCCAATCTCTGTGACAGGGTGAGCTCCCGTTGCTCGGTCCCTGCTCCTGCCAACCTAGCAGTTCGAAAGCACATCAAAGTGCAAGTAGATAAATAGGTAGTGCTCTGGCGGGAAGGTAAACGGCGTTTCCGTGCACTGCTCTGGTTCACCAGAAGTGGCTTAGTTATGCTGGCCACATGACCCGGAAGCTGTATGCCGGCTCCCTCAGCCAATAAAGCGAGATGAGCGCCGCAACCCCAGAGTCGGTCACGACTGGAGCTAATGGTCAGGGTCCCTTTACCTTTTAAGAAGTTGGCCTAACCTGCAGTGTATCCTGGGTAATCACCCCCTTTGCCTATTTCTTTTCCAACCCTCTCTAGCAAGTTGCTGTGTGACAGGGGCCTTAATAATTAAATGACTGTGTACATGACAAAGTGCAGTCAAAGAAGGTTATCTTAAAGAGAGTCCTCCTGAATGGATTTCCTACCTTAAGGAAGTTTTGGACACCCAACATGACCAGCTATTCTACTCATCCCACATTTAGGTATATATAGTTGACTGAGGAATACTCTCTGCATAGGTTCGGACAAAATCTCAGGTTCTGAAATCTGCATTTAGTGATGTTTCCACTGCTAATATATTTCATTATCACCATCACTGCAACTCAGTATTTTCAGTCATAAACCAAAACTGTAGGGAACAGTCCAGTTTGTGAGAGGTCATTTCTGGGCATAAGGTAATTTGGGCCTATTCTCTGAGCTGTGCCCAGTTGACTCCAGCAAAAGATCTCACAAGGGAGTGTGTTTTAGGAGTTAGGTAGGTTGTGGACAATTGTGGATTCCAATTTACACTTTTAACACCTCATGTTCCTAGATTGATACCAAGAACATATGTTAAACTACAAACACATCTCTCATTTACATATTTCTCTCTGTCAGTTACTCTCTATTGTTGGATTCAGGCCTCGCAAATATAACATAGCTTTTTTATTTAGATTCTTAAATAATTCATATATCACTTAGTCAAAAAAACCCCAACAACTCTAATACTAATACTCTCTATTCTTCATTCATATTAGCTGTTTAATCAGAATAGCTACAGAGTAATGTTGATGTTTCTCTTTCAGAATTTTACTGACATTTACTGAAGCTCAGAAGCTGAGGTGAACATTTGCCTCATTTGATCAGATTGGCCTCTTACAATAACATGCAACAAACAGAGCACAAAAAAGCTGAAATATTTTTATTTGGTCACATTGTCCTCATCCATTAACATTTTTGACGTTTCAGTGTTGAAAACTAAGAACAATCATGGAAGCACAAATTCTTATATTATTTATATCTTTTTTGTATTAAATGCTCTCTGGTGTTCAACTCAGGCCTCACTACAATAATGTAGCATTTGGGGAAAAAGATGCAAGCCAGTAATCCAGCACTAGAAGCTAAGATGGAGAAAATCTCCACAGCCACCATGTATTTTCCTCTGGTGCTCAGGTAGGTTGGAATGAAGGAGATCCAAACACTGCAAAAGACCAGCATGCTGAAGGTAATGAACTTGGCTTCGTTGAAACTGTCTGGCAACTTCCTGGCTAGGAAAGCCACAGTGAAGCTGACAGTGGCCAGGAAGCCCATGTAGCCCAAAACACAGAAGAACATGAAGACTGACCCTTCATTACATAACAATATAATTTCTTCACTCATTGACTGCATGTCCAAATCTGGAAAAGGGGGAAAAGTTGCCAGCCAAAGACCACAAAGCCCTACTTGAAGAATGGAGCCGGAGAGGATGATGGAATAAGCCAGTTTTTTGCCTATCCACTTCCTGATTGTGGATCCTGGCTTGGTAGCCATGAATGCCAAAACCACTGAAATGGTTTTGGCCAAGATACTGGAGAGGGCCACAGAGAAGACGATGCCAAAACCTGTTTGTCGGAGTGGGCAGGTTGCCTGCTTAGGTGTTCCAATGAACATCAAGGAGCAGAGGAAACACAAGAGGAGGGACACAAGGAGAATGTAAGTGAGGCTTCTGTTGTTGGCTTTGACGATGGCAGTGTCCCGGTGTTTAATGAAGATGCCCAACACTAGAGCTGTGATCAGAGACAACAGTAGTGCCGAGAAAGTTGAAATGATGGCCAAAGTTTCATCAAAGCCAAGAAAGTTTGGTATCTTAGGAATGCAATTATCCTGGTCTTGGTTTGGATACTTATTTGCTGGGCAACTGAAACATGTTTCCATGTCTGAAAAGACAAAATGAAATTACGAAGAAAATTCTTAAGAATTTTTGTCACCAGGAGTTCAACTAGTTAATGTTCTTTACCAGGGTAGCTTTCAAAACTTCTAGTTCAAAGACTTTTGTTTGAGATATTTCAAAAATAGATCTCATGCATCAAATCTGGAATTTCTACATAGAGGACATCTCTATGTTTTAGTGGTCCTCCTCCTCTTTTTTGGAATCACAAGCTGCTCTGTAGTGAAAAGAGAGCAATATTACAGCTAAAATCTTCTGAACCATGAGAGGTCCACTGAATGAGACATTCATTCTCTCCCCAAACTGCCTTCTTCTTAGAGGAGTGACCATCACTTCGATTCCATCACAATTTAGTAGAATTTGGATGTAAAATGTATTACCTTCCTTTCTAAATATTTTTTCTTCAGGGTGTTTTAAAGATTATATTGCAAACAATAAGAACAATTTAAAAATCCATTATTTAACCCTCCCCCACACCAGAATTTTAACGACAACAAAATTTTAAGGACCTCAGAGTTGACTAAACAAATTGTGCAGTTTGGTCTATCGTAACATAACATTTCTCACCCCTTTCATTTGAGTACATCCCGCTGGGACATGCTTCACAATCATAGCAACAAAATTTACTTTTCTCCTTCTTTTTCTTCCCGTAACCAGGACGGCAGTTGTCATTACATACTGACAGGGGTGGCACCTATCCAAAAATATTGGAAGAATTTTTTTAAAAAAAATAGTTGGGTGGTATTAACCTAACACCAGGTGATATATAAGGAATAGAAGGACCAATAGCGTGAAACATATGGTCCATATTTGCACAGGTGGCACATACAATGGGATAAGAAGCAGCTGCATAGCATCATACAAACTCGAGAGGATTATAATGTTCATTTTAAGCCCAAGGAATGCTGTAACAAGCTTAGCATTCTATCTGATGCCACTAACTGGAGATCTGCCTCATGTATTTCACACACAAGAATGACTGACAACACTTTCTGATATCTATTGGTCCTTCTCAATGTTAGATGTCTTCAGAGCATGTTGCTCTTTTTTGTATTGTGGTTCATTTATTTATTTAATGATAGACCTTACAGTATTCCTTAAAGTATATTGCTTATTCCTTGGTGGCTTACAAATATGCAATAAACAAAAATGGAATTTCTAAATCGTATACAATATAATATCACATACCAAGCAGAATGCAGTCAACATAAGCAGGACAGCAAATAGGGTCTCTTAAACTAATGTGCAAGCATTTTCCCACAAGCAAAGCTAATGGTTCAAATAGAGATTTTCTCCATTAAAATACTATCCATCTACATATTAATTTCCTCTTCTTAAAGTCTACTTTTCTCTCCCAGCAAACTTCACATTTAATCAGGTGCTAAGTGAAAAAACGTCTCCTTGTTTTCATTGCATCCCATTTTATGTATGTTCCTATGTGATGCCAGTAAAGGTTACTTGATTGATAACCATGAATGTTGGTTTTTGAGAAATTAATTTCCTCACCTGAGTCAAGCCCCTGTGCCACTTAATCTGTCCATCATTAATGGTGAACTCTTTCCCTGGAGGGGCCTGAGGATCCAGCCTTCCCACTTTGACCCTGATGTAGGATCTATTTGGGAAAGTGATCAAATTTGTAATATCAAAACCAGCTGCTAATTCTCCATGTTCATTTAATGTAATTTCATCACCAACAGAGTTGTTGAATGAGATCTTCTGTAGGAATGAGTGGAGCTAGGTGGAAAGAGAATCAAAAGGTCTATAAAGTATTAAAACATTCTGATTAAGATTGCTGAATAGCTTTTCTAGATGCATTCAAGCTCTTTATAACTAAGGGTTATAAAGTTTTGATTCAAAGTATAATTTGTGACAGTGTAGAATTGGCAGATCCATTCTTGTTTTCTGCAAATGAAGGAATTTATACCACACACACCACATATGGAGGAAAAGTTACATGCTGTCATGTTAAAAGACTTCTTTTATGCCCCTTTTCCATTTTACTTTTTAATCAGTATTGTGTGATGATATGTTCTTGCATAATAGGCACCATTCAGGGACATAATAAAATATTTGCAATTGCTTCTCCAGACCAATATCTCACCTCTAGGAGGAAGATGGTCTAAGGATCATATCTGGAGTGGACATGACAACTGAGGAGTTTTAAAAAGTTAATGTTATGACAAAACCTCCCAATGATTTATGTTCTGCTTAAGGAGCATAGCCTGCAACTCAGTAGGCATCTTCATTTAGATTTGAGGAGGCCATTCAAAAGTCTCCATTACAGAAATCAGGTAGGATATGTTGAAGGAAATTCTTTGTAACCAGGTATTTCACTTCCTGCTAAATCAAATGACTGCTGTCTCATTTTCGGCAAACCATTGCTATTCTAATCTATCACTTGAATACACTCAAAAGCAGATAAAAGAACTTTGGTCAGAAGATTAAGTCTGGTGATAAATTGTTAAAATGAGCATGAACAGGATCTCCTTATTCACCTAGATAACAGGACATTTTAGAAACAAATTTTCAGAGATTTTGAACAATCACTCTGAATGACAATATTTAACCTCAGTACCAGTTAATTGAGAAGTTGCAGTTTGTTATTCTTGGGTGCTGCCTCTACCCTTTGTGTTTTCTTTGAGGTACATTGTGACCTGAAACATATTTTTTCAAAATTGATATCATGGATAATTAGCTTTATCTAGTGCAATGTCAAACTGCTCCACTGCCCCATTTCCCCAATGGCTCCCTTCTCCTCTGAAGAACAAAAGTGTATTTTTTTCTTGCTGCTATTGCTGGTTGTGGCAGTGCAGAGAAAGCTGGTGAAAAGTTTGCAAAGTTTGGTTGGGTGAGCTTGAAAGCGCTTAAGGAATTCAAAAAGGGAATGGAATTGCCTATTTCCTTTCTTATGTTACCATCACAAGGTGGCCAAGTGGAGAATGTGCTTGAATTTAATTTTCTTTCTCTTTTACCTTATGGTACCTAGTTGTGTACCAAATGCAATAATACGAGTAATTTTTCACTCGCTTGATCACCACTTTGTCTTGGTGAGTGGGCCTGCACATTCCTATGACCCTTGTGAACAAAGCTGCCGGGACTCCCAGTAGGGTCACCCAAGCTGGTAAGGTCAAAGGGGAAGAGCCAAACAAAGAATGAACCAAGAAGTCCTCAGTGGCAGAACAGCTGGATGATAACAAGCGGTATGTTACAATGGCTGTGAAGGCGGATGAAGGCTGCAGCAGATAAGAATCTACCAGTCATCGTGATAATCATGCCATTGGAATAAAGCATTCCTGTGAAGACTGTGGATTGGTCAGTGTGCACTGATCTACACACATAAAACAAATTCACACAGGCATCTTCCAAAAACCCATCCCAAACCCCCAAAGTCCCATGGCAATTGGCAAATGGTAATGGGGGCAGGACCGTGAAATCTGGAAGCCCCTAGTCATGAACTGGTACATGGGTGGTGGATACAGATTCAGTCGCTCTGACTCAAGGAATGAGGCAGTTGAGCAGCTCGGCAGCTGTATCCATGACTGAGCAGCCCTATTTAGGATACACTCTGCTCACCCCAAAAAGGGGCTAGAACAGGTGTCCTAAACATAGTCTGCCTCCCTTTCCCCCTGAATGAATTACCATGCCCAATGGGGTCACCACCCAGCAGTCATAAAAGACAATTGAACTTTGGAACATGGAATATACGGACTTTGTCAGATAACACAGATAATGAATGTCCCGAATGCGGAACTGCATCATTGCAAGAGAGCTGCGACATTTTTACATCAATATTGCAGCACTTCAAGAAACTCGAAGAGCAGGTGAGGGTCGACTGAAGGAAGAAAAAGGAGGAAACACATTCTTCTGGAAAGGTCTACCTGAGCAAGAACGTCAAATACATGGAGTAGGCTTCACTATCAAAAACAGTCTTGTGAAGCTCTTGTCAGAAGTCCCTACCAGCATTAATGAACAACTTTCAACCCTTCAAATAAAACACACAAAAAACCATCAGGCTACTATTCTAAGCGTTTATGCATCAACACTGGATGCTGATGAAGACATTAAAGAAAATTTTTACTTTCAGCTGGATACCATCCTATCGGAGACGCCTAAGGAGGATAAAGTTATCCTCCTGGGTGATTATAATGCAAGAGTTGGGTGAGATTTCAATATGTGGCCTGGGACTATTGGGGAAGAAGGAATTGGCAACAGCAACCAGAATGGAATCTTACTTTTGATTATATGTGCAGGGCACAACCTTGTTATTACCAACACACTCTTCTGACAAAAAAATAAATCTAAAACATATTGGAGACACCCTCGGTCAAGCCACTGGCACCTCTTTGACTATATAATTGTCTGAGCTGAAGATCAATGCGATGTGCTCCTTACCAGAGCTATGATGAATGCCGATGACTGCTGGACAGATCACTGATTAATACACTCCACAATGGCTATCAAGGATAGGCAGGCTTCAAGGAAGGAAACCAAGGCACAAAATGAACACTCAAGTCCTTCAAGATCCTATTAAGAGGGATTGTTTCCAAGTGACTCTTAAGGACCATCTGCTTTTGGAACTCCCTGATAACATTGAGGAACACTGGGCCAAGCTAAAATCATCCATTATTGCAGCCTGTGAACAAACTATTGGATACCAAACCAAGAAACACCAGGACTGGTTTGATGAGAATGACAGTGAGATTGAATGCATGATTGACAAGAAAAAGGAATGCCTTTCAGATCTGGCAAAGAGAAAGAAACTGCGCCACTAAGAAAAAAAACCTATGCCAATGCTAAGGCTGAGGTTCAATGAAGAACCAGAGAACTAAAGAACACCTGGTGGATTAAAAGAGCTGAAGAGATCACTGTAAATCGTAATGCCTTGTGGACTCTCCTTCTGAAAACTGGCTGCCCAGATAAATTTGTGAACATCATTCGGCTTTTCCATGATAATATGACAGCAACAATCGCAGATAATGATGGCTCT